ATCAGTTTTTTACTGGTAAACATAACCATGAGTGTCATTTCATTGAGAATTTTTAATTCATGATATAGAAGAAAAGTCAGGTTCATATCTATGCAGCTTTAACCCCCACACCTTCTCTCAGAATTGAAAATGGAAAGCTTTACCTTCAGTATTTGTCTCCTGCTTATTCCATGACTGGGAGGATAAATGGCCTGACTTTTTGCGAGGACTTGTGCTCACTTTTCTCCAAGAAGCATTCTCACCTCTTTTCTTACTACAATTTTTGTAACTTGAAACCACGGATAAAGGAAAATTTCCTCCTTTAAAATCTGCTATATAATTATCTAGCTCTGAAACAAAAGTAGAACAATGTTAAGAAGAATTGAGTGTTGCAAATGGTTCTTCTTTGACCACCTTATACAACTACTTAGTTTAGTGACAGTAAATGCTTTTTAACCACACACCTCCCATCATAACTACAGTTATGTTTTCAGGAAGTTTTAAAAAAGGAATCAGTTAAAAGCCCCACTTTGGCAACGTACAACTACTTGCCTTTCAGACTGGTTGTTCACAGTTACCTGTTCTGGGTAGAGGACAGCCATGCAGAACAGCTTTATTTAGCAAGATACTGAGAGCAGCTTTAACAACAGCCTGTTGACCTTGGCTAGGATTTTTTTTGGCTATTGCTTGTCCTGGTACAGGTGATCTTTTCACAGAGGCTCTGGAGAGTATTGCTTCTTGAACTCTGGGAGCTATCACAGCATTCCATAACTTGGACATCCACCTGTAGGCACACAGACAATCCCTTAACTTCGGAGACAGTTACCAAAACCCAAGATTTACACTTTGGGTAACATACCAGATTTTGCATTTTCTGGAAGCACATATAATTTGGACTTTGTATTGTACCCCATTTCAGAGAGGAATTGATTTTATTTAAGGTAGGGTTTATTTGTTTGTTTTATATTAAATTATTTGACCTAACTTTCTTCAGGTCACTTTGGCAAACTATTTACTATCTGATGCTTTTCCTCCCTCAGACGAGGACTAGAAAACATCCTTTTCATTTTAAGGCTAAAAGAAAGAATGTCCCAGAAAGACGTGTGTTCATGTATAGACAAAAAAGGCCCCTTTCACCTTTGCCAGTGCATGGAGAAGTTTCCATGCTTGCAGGTGCCCATTCATAGCGCATTTGCCACCAGCGTGGGGAAAAAGGAGGTATTCAGTTATGATTGCACCCTTTCCAGTATTCTCCCATTTCCAGACTTGTCCAGTTTACAAGACCTTTCTATTCGTACAGCTGCCTTGCTCTCACTCTCCTGTTGTTTATTTGATGTATGGTCAACTGTGTTTCCAGGATGCCGTGGATTTTCAAGATTGTCTGGTTTAGACACTGAGTCTGTTTACAGAAATTTGATTCAAAGGAACATGTTTCTTCTGGGACCTTTGCTTTTCTAAGAGAGAAAGATTATGTTGTTTTAGCACAGAAGTGAAAAATTTGTGTTAGGAAATAAATAAATGCTATTTCTTACAGCTTATAGTTCTTAAGGGATAAAGGCTAGGAGTTTCAGGCTTAGGGCTCAGCTCACATCTATAACAGACACTGAGATAATCTTTTCTAGATCAAATCCAGCTCTTTTTTTTTCCCTTATACCCTCTTATGGGAGGAAGATGGTAAGATTGAGAGTCAGCGGGTTTGTATGAAAGGTCTATAAGAAACAATAGGCGATAATGCTGTTTCAGCTTTGCAAAAATCCATTCAGAAAAAGTGAAGGCTAAAATGTCTGTTTGACCGAAATGAACCATTTTGTTGGATATGTTGATACACACAAGACATCTTGTTACCCAAACGATTATGATGACTTTTTTGGTGGCTTTT